CACAATACTGCAAGGAAAAACAGATTGGTTATGAAGAGATTCATATACATGTATATATATATATGGTTTCGATATAAAATTTATTTCTTACATACCTCCCTTACATGGCATTGATATTGTGGAGGTGCTTGAATAGGCATCGGTACTGGAACGGGAACACATACTTGCTCTCGTACGACAAAAGGCTGAGGTACTGGATATGGTTGTGGAACTGGTACACAAACTGGGACAGGTACTGGATATGGAGACTCTACCGGAACTGGTACAGGCTGTGGAACAGGTACAGGACATGGACGATCTACTTCTATTGGTATAGGTACAGGCTGTGGAATAGGTACAGGACGTGGACGGTCTATGGGCACTGGTACTGGACAATGAATAGGCATACAAACAGGTTTCGGTACGATGATTGGTTGAATTGTATATGGAATAGGCATATCGACCGGTTGTACTATATTTTGAAGATAAGGTTGGGGTACAGGAACAGGACAAGGATAAGGTTGTGAAACAGGTACATCATATGGACACATGATTGGTTGTGGACACATTGGAAATGAACATGGATATCCATTACCAAACATTTTGAATTTTTTGTTTTAAACAATTAAGTCAACGTTAAAAATCAAGATTAATTTATACAAAGAACCAGATATGAGCCTCGTATTTCAAGCGTCCGTTGAATCTGTATGTGTCAAGAGAAGATGGCAGTATGTTTTGTTTTTTTAATGTTTGTAGTGACTAATAAGAAGACAGCAAAAAATTTAAATTAATAAAACAATTGGTAATGTAAGTATGCTCTTCTTTGCTAGTCATTATTGCTATTTGAACGTAATATAACAACTGAAAAGAAAAAAAAATTTACATACATAGAATGAATCAAAGAATGAAGGCATCGATTCGCATCAATAATTTCTCATATACATATATACATATACATACGAAAAAGAAATGAAGGCGAGACACAGTATATATTCGTTCAATCAAATTGGTAACTGTCCTTGATCAAAATATTAGATAGCCAAAATGTTCTGTTCATTTAAATGTATCTTTTATAATTTGTTTCTAATCAATGTTTATATATAATCGATATTGTTGTTATGCATCATACATCTATGATTCTGTTGATATACTAGAACATTAGTTAACTGACCAAATATTCGTCGTTGTCGAAAAGAATCAAAGAAATAAAAAAACCTAAAAAACCTTCAACAAAAGGTTGTGATCAGTTAAAACATAGCATTGTTTCTTATACCTTAATGTTGAAGGTTTTTCGATTACTTTCTCAAGTTCAGATGCACATTCATCATTAACCTTGTCCTCATCCGTGACGATAGTGGTCAAATCAAGAAAAAGAAAGAAGATACAAGCTAGACAAACATACAAACTTCTTTTATTTATATTTAGCACAAAAAAAAAAAAAAAGACTGAAAAAGAACAAAACAGGATACAAGGCGTTTGTAAAATAATAATTCAATACGAATAAGCATACACCTGAGAAAAAAAGAAATGAGAAAATAAACTAAAAAAGTGTCAATACTGTTTTTTGTTTTCTTTTATAATCATCACCGGACATTGATGTTAATCATTATCATGAACATTTAAAAGTTTTGTCACGTTGAACATTATAAACATAATAAAGTAAATGTTTATTATCCCAAGCAAATATTTTTCCTTCATATGGATTATATGTTAATTGAACTAAAAATTGAAATGGTACAGCAAATTGTATTTTCATTGTTGTAAATGCTAAATTTGAATAAATATCATAAACAGTATCAATATAAGAATGTTGTTTATTATAATGTTGTACACCATAAAAAACTCCATAAGCAATAAAACCTTGACTTAAACTTGATGGATTATATGGTAATATCCACATTTTTTGCGTATCTAATGTATCAGGATTGATTTTAGCTGCTATAAAATTTCGTGTATATTGTTGTCGATATAATAACCAAAGACCATTTTCATCTATTGAAAAATCATACCAACTTGATTGTGGTGTATTATAAAGAGGTTCACGACTAGCAGGTATATCAACATTTTGTGCTTCAGTTTCAGAAACAAGATCAATACGTATAATTGTATTTTTATATTGAACATTATAAATAAAACTTCCTTGATAAACAACATGATTAACACCTGAATATGGATATGGTAATGTTATTATACGATTAGGTGCACCATTAATTAAATCAGATTCACTATTATATTCATATAAAAGTGTACCAGTAACATGTCGTGTAACATATACTTTTTGAGCACCATTTGCAGTTTTAGGCATTGGATCTTTAAACCAAGCACCAAATGTAAAATTATCTTCTTTAAGTAGAACAGGTGTACCAATAAATGAAAATACACATCCTAAATAAGACGAATTTTTTTTTTAAATAATTTTATATAAACAATTTGATTATTTATAACTTACTTTGTGCACGACTAAGAACGGCTGGTTTTTTTGTTTTTCAAAGAAGAAAAAAAGATAAATAAGAAAATCATAAATCTTTTTTTTTTGTTTTGTTTCTTTCAACATAACTTACCATCACGTCGAGAAGAATCTAAAATTAAAAAAAAAAGATGAAGTTTGTAAATAATAGATGGTCGAGTTGAAAAACCTATATACTACAAACCTTGTTTTTGATCTGACCCTGGTGAAAATGGTATCGAAGATGGTGCTGACGATTGAACAGACACTGTTGCTGAAGGACATGTACAGACGCCCTAGTTATATGAAAATTTATATTAAAACAAAAACAATTTTTATAATTCAACCTACAGGTGGACCTCGAAGACCCATTTCACCACGTGGACCTGGAAATCCAGGTGGGCCCATTGGACCCGGATGACCTTAAAAAAAACAACCAAATAGTAAATCTTTTTGTTTTATTTTTTTTTCTTTGAACAACATACCTGGTTCGCCTCGCATTGATTCACCTCGATCACCCTTAGGTCCTTGAGGACCTGTTGGTCCTGAAAAACCAATTGGACCTGGTGATCCTTTTGATACATATTTATAATCGTACAGATTTAATTTACATAATTATCTTACCTGGTGGTCCTTGTGGTCCCATAAGACCAGGCATACCAGGCAAACCTGAATAACCACGTGGTCCTTGTTCACCTTTCGGACCTCGTAATTCTCAAAGAAAATTAAATAAATATATGTATTTATACAGAAGAAAGTATTTCATATAATTTACCTTCATTTTCAGCAGCTAACTTTTTACAATGATCAACTGATTTTACACAGAATGCTGTCATTGCTACCGGCTATAATTAATTCGGAAATATTGCCTTAATAATCAATTATTATTTCTTACCGGTACTTTAAAATGAATTGAACCAACAACTAAATCCGAATTTTGTGAGTCTTGTCCTTGTTGTTGATCTTGTCTTTGTTTTTGTTGCATTTGTTTATTATTGAATGATTTTGTTTTAATACGTGCATGTCTTGATTGACGACGTAAGACATCAAATCCATTTACATTTGTTGAAATTGTTATTTGTGTTGATTCAAGTATTTCTAATCGTTCTTTAATAAGATTTAATTCTATATAAGTTGATTCCATATGAGTTTGAACATTACGAGAAAAATGAACAAAATAAATTCCCCATGCTATGGTAAGACTAGCAATAAGTAAATATAAAACAATAATATGAAGACGTGATGATGTATCATAACGTATAGTATGGATGGATTTTTCTGTTGTCATATTTTGTTTTAATCTTTAAAATAAATCTTCAATAATAATATTATCAATAAATTACAATCATAGATATGATATTGACAATAAAGATATGAAATAATATAGAATAGATACTAAGCGAATCTTATTATGTTTTTTTTTACTCGAAAAAAATACTTTCATATATGATAAATATTTTATAAATGATGCTTTTTTCTTTTCTAACCAATACAATTTACTTTGACACATCACATAAATAAATTTAATTAACAAATCGTGTCTATGAGTCCTCACCTGATTTATTAACTTGCTGGTTTTTTTTGCAATTAGACCGTAAAATGAAAAAAAAACGAGAGACACAAGTGTATACATATGTATTAATCAAAAAAAAATAGTAGATTGATACACTCTTTTCGCGCTTTGCATTAATATAGTGCATAACTTATTTGTGTATATGTTCTGCATCATACAACACTATCAAAAAGAAGTCAAGAGAAGAAGATGTTGATATTTTCTGTTCTCGTACGTACTCATTCTTTTCTCAAGCCCTCCAGCAAACATCTCTAATAAGTGCCTTTTCATATGTCTATGTATATACGTATGTGGTTTGTTTGACTACAAAAAAAAAAAAGAGATGCAAGCGAAACCCAATCGACAATATACGAAAAACAAAGGAAGAAAGAAAAAGGAACTGGTGAACAGAAAAAAAAGCGATTCCTGTGGTGAATGGTACGAAAGAAAACAATAATCATATATAAACATAACATTGAGAATGACAGATAAACAACAAAAGACAATAGATAAATAATATCTAACTATATGACTTGGTATACTATGTGACATGACACCTGAAAAAATTCAAAATACAAAATACTTCTTTGCTTTAGAGTATAACATACATGTACAGAAAATTGATTTACTGATCACATCACTATCATCATTTGACATTAATTCTCAAGGTATTATGCTCTTCTTTACCTTTTTTTCTTTCTTGTCTTCGTGTCAAAAAAAAATGATAAATAAGCAAGATCTCTCATTACATTGTTGATTTTTGTCATTCAAATCCTATTCTCTAACCAATGAGCATAAATCAATGAAGAAATCCGAACCCTCCTTTTCTTTTTCTTCTCGTAATACATATTTAATGCATGCATACACACACAAATGGATGCATGCTCGTGTTCTTCTCATTGACAATTAGCGTATATGCAATATTAAGACAGATAACAGCGAAGCGTGTCACATCATCACCATCGGTATCCGCACTTAGTAAAACGCGTCCAGATCTCAATCTATCTTTCATCCATCAGTATCGCTAGCAAATGTTCTCGAAGAAAAATAACGAAGCAATACAAAAACAAAAAAACCAGTTAATAGATAAAGGGTCCATCAATCTGGACAACGAGTATTCAGACACTATTTTTCTACAATCGATTGATTGTAGAAAGATGCACATATAGACAAAAAAGATAACAAAGCTAATCTATGTCGACTTCGTGTTGTCACTAGTATTGGTGTGGCAAGCAATCAGAAATAGTCAAAGGATAGATTACAAATGTCACACTCTCAAGGGACGAACAGTAAGAATCAGCAGCTGCAATAGAAATCAACTAAACAACAGATTCTAGTTGTTGACAATGATTACAATAAAAAAAAAATAGAAAACATATCTGTTTTTTTGATACAACAAAGAATTCTCAATACAAAGAAAAAAATCTCCTGCATTTATTTTTTAATCTTAACAAATTTATTTTTCTTAACTTATTTTGTAAGATTTACAGGTAATTCCTTCTCATCGAAACATAATAAGAAAGATCGTCTTAAAGTAAATAAACAGGTGTTTTCAAGGGTTTACTAATATCTTCTATTATTTTCTTACTAAATCATACAACCTAACAAGCATTAGACAGCATACATATGGTATACGCATGTGATCAATTAGAAAGCGAATGAGAATAAGAGAAGAAAAAGAAAGGACATTAAAGCCGGATGTCTGATTACAGGTTTCTATGAGCGAATAAAGTAGACAACTCATGGTTTTTTCTTTCTTTTTGTAATACAAATGTCGATGGAGAAGAAAAAAATTTATGATCGATGATGATTGTGTTTGAATATTAAGAAACTATATGTGTATATACACACATTTAGTTACTATAAAGACATACACATACAGTTACATAGAGAGAAAGTAGATCGTGTACATTTGTGTATATATGATTGAAGAGGCAAAGTGAATGAAGAAGAGAGAGAGGAAGAACGCGATTTCTTTAGAGTGATATGACAAATAAATACGAAGACCTACATATACATAAGTGACAGCGAAAGAGAAGGAAAGAGTAGTCAAGTCACTTGAGCAACACTTCTCGAAACTGCCACATTCAATGATGATGTTATTGTTTGATTGAATAAAACTAAAGAGTTGAACAAATTTTGTCTTACTTATTAAAAATTGCCCCGGAGAAATTTTATTTTCATGTTCAACGATATATTCAATATGTTATTCAATTCATTAAAATGATTGCCTTTTGATATACTTTGTTGTATGCATAATATCAATGCACTAAATATCACAGAAGAGTGTATGTAATTAGATTGCTTCTAACTCAATTTACTATTTCATACATAATAATAATAAAAGAGAAAATGAACTGTTGGTTTTTGAAACCAATAAATCAGTTGAATGTATCTTCAATAAATATCTGTCAGATGCATTCTTTTGATGACATTAAATCGATCTTTTCTATCCTAAATTGTAGATTATATGACAGAAAACCATAGAATGATGAACACATAGATAACCTCCTTTTGAGTTTATACGTGTTATAATTTGTGTGTAGATCGATGAGATAGTAATGCTTAATACTGCCAAAAAAAATTGATTATAAATACGATTATTCCATTTTATTAATAGGAGAAAAAACCGTGAAAGAATCAAGTCAAGAATATCCGATACTGATTGCTAATATGATAGGAAAAGTACGTAAATCCTTTTTGTTGAACGACTCATTTCATCGTCATCAAAAAAAAAAAAGAATAGTTTTAATATTTGTGGCTTTCATTTGTTTTTTACAAAATTTATTCTGTATATTTATATTCGAACAAAATTAATGACATAAATGCATATGAGCTAAAATCATAAAAAATACGAAAAAAAAACATCATTTATTTGCGATGTCATTGTTTATCGTACGAATGATTAATAAATATGACATATCATTTGACTAGGGTTTATTTAGATTATATTTATATTGATATAAATCTCTTGTTTTGAATGTAAGATGAAACATTGCAATCATAAAGTCATAAGGATATCAACTATTTTGATGATTCGATAGAGTTTTCTTTCTTCCTTTAGGCGAAAATAATATTATTGTCTATATTAAATATAATTGAAAATAATTCTAAGACACTTATTGAATAACATTGAATGCAGATTACTTAATATTAATTGTAATTTTCAAACATAATTAGATACACTTTTGTTTTTTTTATAAATTGTTCTTGCATAATATTGCGTGTAGCCATAGAAATCATACTGTATTTTATTTTGTCTCTTTTTAATATCTTGATATATTTATTTTTCTTTGTAACATCAGACCGGATCTCAATGTAAATATTCATATTAATATTCTTTTTTTTAAATAAATAAATTCTTATATATTGTTATAATGATTTATAAAACGAAAAAAAACAAAACATGTTACGTTATTGTTTCCACTTCAAGTGAATTTTCTATTGAAGGTTCTACTTCTTCAATAACTGATTTTGTTATTTTTTTGGTGTTAGTTTCTAAGATTTGATTTTTTAATTCAAATTGATTATTATCAATAATTGGTTCTGGTAGTTGTTCTAATGTTGTTATATTTGGTTTATTTTTTTTAGTAATTTCATTTATTTTTATATTAGTACGTTCTATCCATATAGTACCAATTTTTCTTAAATTTTCATTTGCTTTAATCCAAACAATAATATAAAGTATAGCATCAATTATATAAATAAAATCACCACCAATTTGAATTGGACGAATAATAATATAAATCAAATCAGTAATTTTATTAAAAGATTCTGTTGTAAAACTTGCAATAAATGATATAATTGGTTGAACAATATGTGCAATTAAATAAGTTAAATTACCAATAAAATTAAGTAAATGAGCAAAAAATTCTATTGAACATTTTGATGTTTGTTTAGATACTGGTGGTGCAAAAAAATTAAGAATAGATTCACCAAGAAATGCTAACATACCAACAATATTAAATATAAATGTTGGTATATCATTTAAATTAATAGATTCATTTGTAGATGTTTTCTGATTTTTAAAAACTGTTGCACCTATTAAATATAATATACTACCAATAATATTAAGTATACAAGCAATTAATTCTCGTCGTTTTTTTATTGTACGTTGTTCAAACCAATCTATTGTATAAAGTAGAGCATCAATAACAAAAATACTAGCTAAAATAATTAAAATAATATAAGTAACTGGTGATTCAACAGTATTTCGATTGATAAGATTGACTATATTAATAACAAGATAACCTAATGAACCTAATGCGTAAATTATATTACCAGCTGAGTACCACCAAAGTTTCATTCACAACTTTTGTTTAATATAAAATATGAATAATTACCTACTGGAGGTTTTTTTTTCATAACTACTATTAAGTCGATTACCACGACAACCATCAGAACGAACAACAACAACAACAACAGCAACTAACATCAGAGGAGGAAAAAGCATAAAACAAGAGGCGTTCAAGTATAAGACACATTACGACAGAAAAGTAATAACAAAAGATATTTAAAGATTAAAATCTTTTTTGTCAATAGTTGAAAACAAAAAGGACAACTAAAATTTATCGAAATAATCTTTTATATAAGACGTTTTAATTATGTAGCTTATTAAAATAAATAAATAAATATTTAATCAATAATAAAATTATTTATTTCTGTTTTTAATATGAAAAAAATAAATAGTTTTAATGACATGCTTTTAAAACAGAAGCTAACAAGACCTTTTCTTTGATCTATCTAATTCAGTAAAATATATCTCTCGATAATATATTTTCAAATGAAACTGAAGAAGAAAACTTCATTACGATCAAAAATTAATACTTTAATAGAAGAGATATGGCAGTTTAAAAGAATCATAATTTATTTACGTAAAAATAAATAATCGATTACATAAAATTTATTAGTTTAATTGAAAATATAATATAAATTCATTGTAAAAATGAATAGACAATACAAGATCATTGTGTATTGATCCTTTTTACAAACTCAATAAAACGAAATATCAATCATGTTTGCCTCGAAAAAAAAAGAAGTACTTTTGACTTTGTTGATTATTTACTCGATAAATTCATCTAGTAAGATATACCATTTCAAAAATACACTTCTTTATTTTTAAATAGCTGATTCAAAACCACTATCAGTACTTGTAATTGTTACTGGTGATTGTTTACGATCAGTAATTTTTGGTGGTTGTGGTTGTCGTAATGGTTCATTAAGTCCAACGACACGTTTAACCATTGCTTGTAAAGACCATCGTTGTTTATCTAATATATTTGGTGCTGTTGATGATGAAATAGATGATATATTTTTAGATGATATTATCGGTTGATATATCGGTATTCGTTGAAGTTCACTATCACCACTAGTTGATATTGACATACGATGATTTGTATCCATTAATGTTGTATGATTTTCATCAGTTGTCTTGGATATAGCAGTAGAAAATGAATTATTTGCTATACCAGATGTTCCTTCTATTGTTTTATGACTACGAGCTGTTGTTAAACGGCTAGGATGTGTAGAATTTTCTTCACTTTTTATTTCTTTCCATTCATCAAATGCACTTGTAGCACGAGCACGACGTAAATCTTGATTATATAAATTTATATCATTTTGTTCACGTTTTTTTGCTCGAGTATATAAAGTTCTTAAACAGAATAATTGATAATTTTGTTGAGCCCATTGTGTATGTGTTAAATAACCTTGTTTATATGATTGTAATAATTCATGCCATCGCTTACTGTAATAGTCAGATGAATAAATACTACGTGATAGACGTTCAATATGCCGTTTTTTATCAAGCATTTCACGAAAAGTTTTTTCATGTGCTTGACAAGCATCTTTCGTATATACATCAGTTGATAACCAATTTGCTGATGAATAACGTTGAACTTCAAAACCATGACGACTGTTTACATAACGAATTATACCATCTGCTACAGGTTTTTTAATATTTGAATCATTATCAGCTAATGCTGCTTGAATAGTTTGTGTTGTCGAACGAGCAGTAATAATACGAGAACGAGAAGTTGATGAAGACTTTCTTGATGATTTTTGATTTGATGTTGATGATGATGATAATGCTGTTGGAAGACTAAATGGTGGTAGATTTTGACGATTGGATAATTGATTTGATTGTACTTGACTATTATTTATTTGTGATATATCTGGTAGAGGCTATTGAGTAAAAGAAAATAAAATGAATTTGAATACTTTTTTTTATCGATATAATTAATAAAATTTCAATGAATTTTAAAATAGAATATAATATAAAAGAATATTTCAATATTTGAATTTATATTTTTATTAATAGAAAAATTTTCTATGGGTTAAGTATTAGTGACGTCAATTATACAGTATATTCTCTTTTCATAATTACTCTACCTATGTTTACTATTCATCAATAAATAAAGTACTAGAATAAAAATCATTATATGAGTCATATATAAAAAGTTTTTCGTGCCCTTTAAAAATTCTTTTTCAGTCAATAAATACGCCTAAATTTCTTAAATGAATGTCAAATTGAACTTTTTCGTGTTTTTTTTTTTTATTGTTTGTTAGAAGAAAAAAAAGATTGATATTTGACAAAACTGAATCATTATTTATTTAATCCATTTATATTTTAGAGGAATATTATTTATTAGTCTTATAAAAGTTATTTTAACACTTAACAAAATAAGTTTAATGGATATATTAATGGTTTAAGTCACAAATGAATTATATCTTATTAATAAATATATATGTCATTTTTTTTTGCGAGGGTCACTCCAATCTGCTAAATTTTTTTCTGAGATTTTTTTCTATTGTTTTATCAACTTCTTATTTTGACTTAGTTAAATTTTGCTTTTATAAACTTACTGTTATTATAGTTTGTTCAGTATCTACAGATTTAGATGGTAGATTCATAGTTTTTTCTTTTAGTCTATTTATTTGTCTTGATTGTCGATTAGATTTCGTAGAACTATGTTTATGTATACTAGCTGCACGTGATATAGTTAATTTATCATAAACTGGATTAGCTAGAAAAAAAAGAAATAATTATAATAATTATTCATAAAATATTATATTAATAAACTTACCAATAATTCGCATCATTTTTGATGGATCATCCAAAATTGGATGAGGTATAGGTTTATCAAAACCCCTAATAGAAACCATTAACAATAATAATATATTAAAAAGTATATATGTATGAAAATCTTGTTTTTAATATTATGTTCATGAGATTAAATGTTCGTATATATTTATGTAGCTTATGTATGTTGAGTGTTTCAATCGATAAAAGTTAGGAAAAAACGAAAAACTATTATTTTGACAATGTTGACACTCACGTGTATACTACTACTTACAAGTGGCAATACATGTCTATATAATTGTATAGGTAGCAAAGGGAAATAAAGTGCACATTTTATATGTTGTTCCTTTTTTTTTTTTTTTTTACAATTCTTTCTTATCGAATAAAATAAAGCAGAAAAGTAATGATGAAGATTGTTTATTTAAAAAGGCGAATATAATATTTTTTTTTTATTCTTCCCTCTCTCAATCATAAATAATATTAAAATCCATGAATATGATTATTAAATTTAGATGGCAAGAAACCTATCAAATCAGATATTGTCAACAAGTGAAACCTCATCAATATTTATTGTATACAAAAACTGTAGAAGCCAAATAGAACATAAACGAATATAGATTTTTAAATCAAAAAAAGAAAAAACAAATATTCAAACAACAGACTAACCAAATCGATGTTTCAAATAATATAACATCTGGTTTAAGTATTTTCCATCCATCATCATCATCATCATCATCATTATCATGATGTTCAACGTCATCCATTGAAATCAAAATATATTACAAAATGTTTGCTTATACAAAACATAATAACGAGAAAAAAAAGAAGAAAAATGTAATCTTTTTTTCAAGTACATCTTATTAACAATATAAATCATGTTATATATATATTTCATCGAATATAAATCAATATGTATAGATGAAAAGAAAAGAAGAAAAAAGAAAAATTCATGTCTTTCATTTTCTTTTTATTTTATTTTATATAAAAACAAAAACTGAAACAAAGGAAACCTGGAGGATCAATATACGGAAAGAACACACACACACACACACACAAACAAATCAAGGATATATATATATATTTAGAAATGCGATACACTATGTATAAATATATAGTAAAAAAAAAAGAAAAAGAAACAAACAATTCACACAACAACTTCATAAACAAGCTTTTTTCCATGCTGAGATTTTGTTGGAGTTGAAAAACCACTTTCTTCTTCGGATGATATTCTTCCATGTGATGTTAAATTTATATGATTATCTTCTCGAATTCCTATTGTATATGGTGGTATATCATTTGTACCATTTAATTTTGTTAAAAATAATTGTTGTATATCAGATACATGATTAGATTTTGTTTTTATTCGTCCATTAATATGATTTTCACCATCAGAACGATCATAAAATCCATTTATTATTTGTCCATCAATATCCGATGATGAAAATGCTTGTGAACATGCTGAATCAGAATTATTTGAAGTTGTTGATGGCATACCGGAATCAAAACACATTGAATTTTTCTTTTCTAAACATACATAAAAATAAAACCAAAAAACATGATTATTTTTATCATATTATTATTATTATTATTTTTTTTTTTGTTTGTGATAATTTAAAAGAATTAGTAGAGAAAAATAATTTTTCAATGCAAGAAGATATTCTTTTACATTGAAATGTGAATAAAAGAAATAAGAAAATTGATGTGTTTCTGTGATATATAAATCAAACAAGCACACATACGGACAGTATAGTGGATAATCATATACTAACAGGCTTTCAAGCCTCGTTTCACTTTTGCAAAACCTGTTCTTATCGTCATTTTGTTTGTACCTGATATTCAATGGTAAAATATCAACATACATATATATATATATCTGTTTTCATTTCATTTCTTTTTTTCTTTTTTTTTTTTTTCTGCTACTCACCTTGTATTGAATATATACCATTAGGTATTTCTTGATTATAAAATAATGTTCCATTTGGTCGAACTAAATGTAAAAATTAAAATAAATTTTTATGTACGAGAACAAAAAAAACAAATCGCCTTCATACTTTCATTTATTGTTGCTGTTGTTTGTGCTGGATAATAAAGACAAGAATTAGTATCAACAACTCGAACAGGTGTTGCATGAAAATGTTCTATTTGATTTCCATTAAAATTTGTTTTTAATGTATTCATAGAAGAATTTTTCGATTTTTCTTTACGTCTTTGTTGTTGTATACAAATAAATAAACCAACTAATGCAGCAACAATACATAAACCTAATGTAGCTCCTTGAATAAAAAAAAAAAAAGAAACAAAAACAAGATGAATATTTTTATTTTATTAATTAAATTTATTTTATTTTATTTTACCAATTAATATTAAAATTAATTCAGATGAATCATTTGATAAAGATACACCGGTTGGTATTGATATAGATTTTGAACAAATATCTGTTTGATTTATAAAACATAATTTTAAACGTATATTTGTTTCATTAGTTAATATTTCAAATTCATTATTTGATTGTTGTAAAGTATTTAATGGTATACATGATGGTAAATCATTTGTAGTTTCAATTATTGTTAATGGTATATGATAATATTGTAAACATAATTGATCTTTAAAAATTATAGTTGAACTAAATTCACTTAATTCAATATGTATTCGACGACCATCAGTTGTATAATAAGCACGTTGTATAATAGGAAATTCTTCGGAATGAAATGGATATTCATTTGTTATAACAATTAAAGTACTTGAATAATCACTAAAACCAAGAATATTTTTTGAACGTATTTTAACAACATAACGAGATTTTTCATTAAGATCTAAAAAAAATAAAAGAAAAATTTAAATTATAATAAAAAGAAATAAAAAATTCATATTTACCAGTAAATCTTATTGAATTTAAACTTGTTTGTCTTTCTTCTGTATGATTACCAATAAGACTAACATAATAGATTATATTTGAACCACCATTATAAGCTGATTGCCATGTTAAAATAAATGAAGAATATGTTATATTTATTGGTTGTAATTGATTTGGTGGATCAGGTAGACCAGGTCGTTGAAAATGAATTGAAAATTCATGTTGACCATATTCATTTTTAGCTACACATCGATATAAACCAAGCATTGATGAATAAGATGGTGGTACTAAAATAAATCATTTATTTATTTATTCAATTCAATTCAAAAGAAAATAATCAACTTACAATGTAATATAGATGAAATAACTGTTGCATTAAGAATTTTTTCTTCAGCAAATGAACTTAATCGTTGACCAGACGGTCCAAACCATACAATATCACCTTTTGGATAAGCATCAACAATACATTCTGTTGTAATATCATGATTTTCTGTAACAGCTAATTTTTTAATTGAATTTAAAATAAATGGAGCATCTAAATTAATAAAAAAAAAAAAACAACAATAAATTTTTTTTGTTCTCAACATTAGATCGATTTTTCAAAGCTAATTAAACAATTATTTAACATACAATACTTCTTACTGAATGGACACTGAGTTTTTATCCTTTAGTATATATCTCTGGATTATATATGGACAAGATGGTTTCGATTTCGCCTAGTGTCTTGCAATCGGATCCGATACCCAAAGTTTCAGAAAACTTTTACTTTTCTCAAACTGTTAATTTCTATGAAATTATAGGAGTGAAACTCTGTTCGATCATGATTGAGTAATTTATTATACTTGAGAACAGACCATAGAAGTAGAAAGCGATATTATTCTACTAGAAGAATTCATTTTTAATGAAAACTCATCTATAGATAATGATAAACCATATGCTGAAATAATTAAATACATAGAAAGGAATAAGCATTCATGTATGTATCTACAATTATGACATTTAGTATCAACACAACATTCCATTCCAGCGTCATCAGCAGAAACAAATGTTTCCCTAACAACATCGATCGAATTTGATAAGCAGAAAGCTATATCGACTGAATCCTGAATCATTTCCTTTTGTGTAGAATTTTAGATGATCTCCGTTTGTTGTTACTATTTATAAAAGAAATTAAATAGTATATTTTTTTCATATTAAATAAAATTTTGAAAAACCGTAGTCTTAATTGTGAAGGACACTAATCCCGCTAAGATCAACACTTTCATTGAGAGCAATACATTTTATAGTCGTGTAAGACTTACGTCGAATGTCATACTGTCACGACTCATATGTTCTAAATAGATTTGGACAAAACAATCTCACTTCCAGCAGAGCCGAGACCAAAAATGACTGATCCTGCTCATGTCTACTACGGATGTTAATTGGTTTTAAATATTTCTTTTTAGTTCTAATTTCTATCATGAAGACATTATTCCATATAACTTTCATACTGAAGGAAAAAGATCCAAGTAATAAAAGACAGTTGATATAAACCAGAAATTTCTTATTATAAATATAACGATAATAATTGATTGCTGATTGATAACGAATGTTTCATCTTAGTTTTTTTCTCTTTCAACTAATCCTTTGGTTGATTATCTCTCATTAACTAGATGTTAACATATTGACATTATATTGCTATATCAAACAGATATTCCTAATAAAATATTCTATTTTAAACAATCTTTTAAAAGAAAAATTAATTTTGTCACTTTTATAATTGAATAAATTTCTTACATTGTATTCGAACATTAGTTGATATTTCTGTTGTAGCTTCATGTCGATTATCAAAACCAGTATTTAACCAATTTTTAACTTCACATGTATATTTGCCTGAATGTATACGATAAACATTTGGTATAATATATTCTGTTATAGTTTGTGTTCGATTTATTAATGAACATGATTGTATATGTATCTTTTTATCATTATGAAACCATTGAATTTGATGACAAAATGGATTTGAATCAATCGAACATTTTAAAATAAGTTTTTCACCTTGATTTAATGTTATACGATCAATCATTGATAATTTTGGTTTATCTAATATAATAAAAAGAAATTTATTTTTTTTTTCGATTTGTTATAAACAAATCATATTGTCTTCTCATTTTGCTTACAAAGTATATCAATATTAACAGTTGCTTCAGATTGTCCAATTGTATTTCTTGCTCGGCAAGTTAATTTTTGTATATTTTCTATTCGAGTAAAATTAATTTTTATTTGTTCTTGATTTTCTCCTAAAAAATACAAGAACATCAAAGAAAATAAAATATGAGTATCCTGATATGTATATCTTAGAATTTAACAAATATTAAATTAAAGCTAGCTCTTCGATATAAGGACAATTCAATTGAATGTTTTATACAAATTTTCTCTTTCCAGGGGACGGCCGAAGGCTAAACAGATCTTCGGAAGGACGCCGCCCCCTTTTGTCCTTTCACGTTAGATAGATCAAATACGTCAAACATAACTACAAATGTCTAATAATATGTTTCATATAAATGTCTTACCTCTAATTAATTGTTCATTTTTAAACCATTCAATATTTGTTAATGCTGATGGATTAGCTGATATTATACAATGTATAGTTTCAAATCTATTTTCAATTACTGTTAGTGTTGTTAGTGATTGTTTTTGATTCCATGATATATTGATAATGGGTTTAACTAGAAAGAAAAGAAAAAAACAAATGTGTCAGTCGGATGATCAAACAAACTAGTCAAGTAGCTTTTAATAAATATTCAATGTGTATATATACATATGTACATATACTACTCACATAAAATCTCGAGTTTAAGTTCAACATTTGTATCATGAATACTCGCTTCATTAGTTACTTGACAACGTAGTACATGATCATGATCAATA